AAAAATCGCTTTGGGGGGGGGCCTATCGCTTTACAGGGTTTTTGCACACTGCTGTCATCCATTTTGCGGGTATCGCTTTTGGGGGGGCCCTATCGCTTTACTAGAGTTTTTGCTCATATCCCTGAATTTTATCTCTGCCTGCTCTTGGCTCCTACACGATAATAACAGCGGTCGCTCATACAATCCCCCTATAATATATTCCCTTATTCACTACTAAGAAGCGGCAACCCAGTAAATGCAGCGGAGGAACAGATCTCTTGTCATGTTCGTTGTTTCCCTACAAAAAAAACTCTACACCGTAAAAGCACAACAATCTAATAACATGGGTGTTCTTTTCCGTTCCTTTACTCCCTTCTGCAAGCACCGATAAGGATCACAGGTGAAGGTCAGGAAGATTTTCTGGATCGCGTCATCAAAGGACTCTGGGCTCTTCTCCGGCCAGACGTCTTGGAAGGCTTCAAATCTGGATCTCAATTCCGTAACCTGACTGGGTTTAGGGTTTAGTGTGATGGTTAGTGATAAAAAAAGGAAATGGAAAGGATAATGGTAACCACTATGCTATTTAGTGTTTAGGCTTCAGTTGGGAATAGGGGAAGAATTAGGGGGTATAGGGGCTATAATTAGCAAAGAAAGAAATGCCTCAGGAATCCTACAAGCATCTTTTCCTCCATTCCCTCCTAAAAACCTTAGCCCCAAATGATGTTGACGCTTCCATTTCAAAGTAGGTAAAATAATGGCCCAAAACATTCCAAAATAGCCCTAAAAGGGAATTGTTCTACATACTTTTGGGCATTAGGTACTAACCACCAGTAAGCAACACTGAAGCGCAACCGGCTCTGCGCCGCCTCAGGCAGCTCTGGCAGCTCTGGAAGCTCACACTCTGCCGGATGCACGTCGCCGGTGTCCAGGTCGAAGATTGAAAAGTCCCTGTCCCCTTGTGCCAAGATCTCACTGGAGAGCAGGTCGTGCGAGTCTGCAAAGCCGTCCTTCAGAAAAATGTCGCGCAAGCATCCGAAAAGGAAGGGTGGAGGAGTTGCCAGGTAGTCCATCGACGGAAGTAACGGATTGTAGCAGTGCACCCAAGCAAGTGGGAACAGCAGGATCGATGAGAATACTTCGCATGCAGTGGTCAAGAACGCCACGGATGAAGATACGAACAAGACCTTCTGCTCCAGCAGCAGCAATCGGACCACCAGCAGTAGGGCTGAAACACTCAGCCTGGTGAGCAGCAGTTGGAGGGGACTTGGAACGTAGATGGCAGGAAGGCCGCAGGGTGGTCGTGCAACAGCGCACACAGATGGCTCACCCAAGCCATGCAGAATCAGGGCTGTGCCAGGTGGGGGTGCCGGCACCTCATGGACCAGCCAGCCCCAAATGCGGGCAAAGGTGGCCGCGCTCGCCCCGTCACAAGGATCCTCAAGGCAGCTGTCCACAGTCAGCATCAGTTTTAAGAAGTTCGGACTCGCGACTTCTGGCAGATGGGACCAGGCACAGGTTGCTAAGGGACCCTGGCGATAGGAGATCTGCACACCGACATAGGTTCGGTGCGTGAAGCTGTCTGTCATCACAGTAGAGAAGGCCAACGGCCGGGCAGGCAACCCCGATGGAAAGAGAATTTCAGCCAAGCCCTCCACAGGCTTGGCTCCTGGTGCCAGCAGCTGTGCCAGCGTGCGCACGCCACCATCATCCCCCAGAAGGGCCACACCGCTGACCAGCGATGAAGGCGTGCGATGCCGCCAGAGCTCGGGCAGTGGCAGCGCGGTCATGGCTTCTTCAGTCCTACGCCCTGCAATCTGCAGATGCAAAATGCCGAGCCCCGTGCATGACATGTCTCTGAAACTCCACGCCACATGCAGTGCATGTCCTTCACTCTGAGGCAGCAGGCTCAAAGGCGAGAAACGTCTTCCAGCCCCATTCGCGGTACTTGGGCTCCTAGGCATTTAGAGTCCAATTTCCGATCGAGATCTGAATAGACACCCGGAGTTCCTTGGTCAGCTCCCACATGTACCACCAACCTGGCATTCGGCCGCACACGCATTCGTATTAGTCACCTCATTCTCGATTTGCAACTGCTACGGGAATTGTCAAGACGGAAGGGCGATCACATTGATCATCTAGCCCATTACTGTCCCTATGTCCCACAACAAAAATCCCATATCCTCCTAAACATTGGATCATTAACCCTCCCAGAAACTGTGTTTAAAGGGGTCTTCTTACAGGGCTATTACAACTCCCAACCTATACAAAAGAAACTCCTATCATGCTGTAAGTCTTGCAGAGCTCAGGAGATCCTGGCCTTCGGAAGCTTCTGGTCGAAGGATGTACCTCGACGGCTTCAGGTCCAATTCAGTTGAGTGGGCCCCTTGCGAATCAGAAGGCAACATCGCATGCAGTTCGCGAAACACAAAGAGGCTCATAAGATCTTATTCTTGGGAACCCCAAGAAGCCTACGTAGCATGTGAAGCTCAGATTAGCAAGCGTACCTTTGAAAGCCTCTGCCCTGTGGAGCACTCCTTGGTGTTGGTCTTGGAGAGGTCCATGGCCTCGAGCAAAGATAGTTTGGCACAAGACAAATCGACTAGATATGACACTGTGATCATGAATGCCCAAGCACAGCCATCATGACAGTAATGCTGTGAACCTGGACCCTCCCTACTATCCCCTAGTCTGGGCTGAATACCTGTTATTACGATCCCTCGGTTTAACGAGCGCGGGCATCGTCCAACAAGCGCGGCCTCTCCCTTGACCCTCTCCGGAGCGATGCCTGGCATGTAGGTAAAGGGTTCTTTGACGCAATGGGCGCGCGACCTGGAACAGATGTTCGTGTGTAATTACATGCCCACATATGTACATGTGTTTATTGATGTTCTTATTATTATTGTCAGTAGTATACATATACATACACATGCACATAGTAAACAATGCCTACAAATCTCCTCAAAACAAGAAATATGTAGCCTATATGTGCACACGGCACGCATCTGCAAATCTTGAAAAGCAGAAGGGAAAGAGCCGGCCTGTGGGCTGCTTCTCGTACATCTGCCAGCAGGTGTATGCCTCATCTGAGTACTCTAGAAGCCAAAATTGCTATCAATATTCTGACCCCATATTCCTTGTATAATTACTGTATGGGGTACTTCAAATAGAAGTCGATATGATATTCCTCAACTTCAGGGTCCCTTCAGCAAGGTAGCACTGATAACCAACAATCCAAGAATTGCATTTAAGGCTTCACACGAGGCCACGCAAGAGCAAACATCTGGTGAAACCTTGACCCCTGGGCGGCACTTAGGGGCCGAAAATGCCTGAACCTCCATTTTGACTACATAGAATCAAAATTACTCATGTGCACTTCTCGGTGAGCAGAAACCATATCTTTCCGGGGGTAACGCGTAAAGGAGTAGGATCAGCGTCATGAGGTACGTGGGAATCTCAAAGATTCTACGTGCCCAGCCAACCAACCGCAAACACCGGCATCGAATCGGATCGACGCTCGAATCGATCGAATCGAACTTGCCCGTTACCGTAGCCCTCCCATCTCCCACCTCCCACCCCACCCTCCCAAGCGGG